ATACGTACAGTGGACCCTCGGTTTTCATGTTTAATCCGTTCCTGAGCCATCAGCCAAAACTGAAACTGGCTAAAACCGAAACCATTTTCCCCATAAGAAATAACGTAAATGGAATTAATCTGTTCCAGACACCCAGAAGTATCAACAAAAAAATTTTTTTTACCTTAAAGATATTCACATGCAGAAAAGAATGAACATTAAACATGACACTTACCTTTATTGATGGCTGTTGTTGCTGGAAGGAAGACAGGGAGAAGGGGAGAGGGAAGATAGGTTATTGTTTGGAAGGGAAATTCCCCCCCATAACGACTCTAGATACCAAGTCCTTTTCTGGGGTCACTTCCCTCCTTAGTTTTTTACTGTCACTAGGACCAGCTTGAGAGTCAGTGGACCCCTGTCACACAAGATATCTGTCCAGATAGGTCTGTTTCTGGCATCTCTTTAAGATTTGCCTAAAATGAGACATGGCATTGTCACTGTAAAAGTCACCAGCACAGATTGCAACAACTTTCTCAGGGTGATGTTCCTCCACAAATGAATGTACTTTAGTTCACATTGCACAGATCTCCTTAATCTTTGAAGAAGGCACCTTCCATCTCTCTTCCTTCTCCTCTGAAGCAATTTCTTCAGCTGTGGTCTGTTGCTATTGCAGATAAAGCTCTTGCAGCCCATCGGTGGTTAGCTCTTCATTGTGGCTCTCCACCAACTCTTCCACATCCTCCAAACTCACATCCAACCCCATGGAATTCCCCAGTGCCGCAATTGATTGCACAACAGGTGTAGGGTTGACAGGGTCAGCCTCAAACCCTTCAAAATCCTTCTTTTGGACACAATCTGGCCACAATTTTCTCCAAGCAGAGTTCATCATTCTGGAAGTCACTCCCTACCAAGCCTTATCTGTAAGGCCTATGCAGTATAAGATATTGAAGAGATTCTTCCAGAACTCTCTTAGGGTCAATTCAGAGTCTGAGGTTATGTCAAAGCACCTCTGAAACATTGCTTTGGTGTGCAGTTTTTTGAAGTTTGCAGTGATCTTGCTGGTCCATGGGCTGGAGGAGAGGAGTGGTGTTAGGAGGCAAAAACTTCACTGTTACAAAACTGAATTCCTTAGACAAATGGTCTTCCAAGTCTGGATGATGAGCAGGAGCATTGTCCATTAACAAGAGGCACTGGAGTGACAGTTTCTTATCCTGGAGGTATTTTTTCACACTGGGGCCAAACACTTCATTAAACCATTTCAGGAAAATTTCCCTTGTGACCCATGCCCAACTGTTTGCCTTCCACATCACACACAATTTACTCTTGACAACACTGTTTTTCTTGAACACTCTGGGATTTTCAGAGTGATACACCAGTAAAGGCTTCACTTTGAAATCCCCACTAGCATTACCACACAACAAGAGAGTTAGCCTGTCTTTCATAGGCTTGTGTCCTGGGAGTGCCTTTTCCTCCTGTGTAATGTAGGTCCTCTTTGGCATTTTCTTCCAAAACAGGTCTGTTTCATCACAGTTGAACACTTGTTGTGGTTGGAATTTTTCAGCCTTTGCATAACATTTGAATTCCCGCACAAATTTTTCCGCCGTTTGTTTGTCTGAACTGGCACCCTCACCGTGCCTTACAACACTGTGTATGCCACTTCACTTCTTGAATTTTTCAAACCAGCCTTTGCTGGCCTTAAATTCACCTACATCAGCACTTGTTTCAGGCAGTTTCTTTAAGAGGTTGTCATGTAACTGTCTTGCCTTTACACAAATAATTGACTGCACAACACTATCTCCTGCTAACTCTTTCTCTCTGATTCACACCAACAACAGTTTCTCTACTTCTTCAATTGTTTGGGATCTCTGTTTGGTTATCGCATTCACCCCTTTCGCAACAGCAGCTTCCATGATTTCTTTTCTTTTTGCCACAGTGAAGCTGATTGTTGATGGCGACTTCCCGTACATCTTGCCGAGTTCAGCAATGCGTATGCCATTATCATATTTTCTTAGGATTTCTTTTTGCATTTCTACAGTGTTTCTCACTTTCTTTACCAAATGACTGTCACTAGGAGCTTTCTTTGTGGCCAAGGTGACTTATTTAGCAGTCACACACAAGAAACAAGTGGCAAAAACAATGGATTATTACAGAATGTTTAGTATGACAGGCAGGATATGTTCACTCACCGAGAAACAATGCTACACTGACTGAGAATGGCTTGGGAGGCAGCTTTGTCTGCGCGCTCGGCACTGGACAGGTTCCGTACGATCGATGAAAACTGAGGTAATCGACGAAAACGGAGCAAAAAATCAGCGAGAAAAGTCGGCCAAAACCAGAATCAGCGATAATGGAGATCGACGAAAACGGAGGGGTCTACTGTACATCAATTTTACCTGCACTAGCAACTAATCTCAACTTGTCCATCTTATTCCTAGTACTACAACTATTTGTGTAATACAGGTACCATCCGACTTACAGTCGAGTTCGGTTCCGAGAAACCAGTCGTAAGTCGAAATGGACG